AAAGTCCAATGCTGCAAAGAAAAATACTGCATAGGAACCTGGAATGTAAGATCTATGAATCTTGGTAAGCTGGAGAATAAGGAGAGGCAAGAGGGCCTTCTTAAATGAACAGTGCAAAGATATAGAGGAAAAGAACTGAAAGGGAAAAACTAGAGATCACTTCAAGAAAATTGGAGATATTTAAAAAACCTTTTGTGCAAAGATGGACATGATAAAGGACAAAAACAGTAGGGACCTCACAGAAGCAGAAGACATCAAGAAGAGGTGGCAAGGATATACAGAGGAATTATACCAGAAAGATTTGGATATCTTGGACAGCCCAGATAATGTGGTTGCTGGAAAAGACCCTGATGTTTGGAAAGTGTGAAGGCAAGAGGAGAAGTGGACGTCAGAGGACGAGATGGTTGGACAGTGTCATCGAAGCTACCAACATGAATTTGACCCAACTCCAGGAGGCAGTGGAAGACAGGAGGGCCTGGCATGCTCTGGTCCATGGGGTCACAAAAAGTCGGACACAACTTAACAACTAAACAACAAACAACAAAACAACTCAAGAGTAAGTTTTATTTAATCCAGTCTAGACATGTATGTGCTTGCACTGCTAACCAAAACTGTTTCTAAGTTGTTTCTAAATCTTGGCTTACTTTGGAATAATACACCATAATCCTGACCTTGGATACTATAGTCTTAAAATAGGTTATAATGTGTAGTTGGTCTACTCACTTCTGTGGATGGGAGTAGGAGAGCAGGAACATGTACTGAATTGTGGTTTAATGAGCCAGTTTTTCTGCTTTGTGCCATGTAAGTGCAACGGATGTCTCTGTGAGAAAGAAGATGTAAAAGAGGAGAAGAGTAACAGTGAGCCGTACCCTCAAACGTCTTTAGAGGAGGAGAAAGAGAGAGAAGTTGGAGGAAGGGAGATAGAAGGACTCATAATGAAGATGAAAGGGTTAAAGGCGGGAAAAGAGGAAGAGGAGTCGGAAAAAGAAGAAAGGAGGGAGTTGGATGTTTTTCTGACAACAGAGAGGGAAGAAGGCTCAGGGGAGACAAGGAAGGTGAAAGTATTAGAGGAAGAATGGATAGAAGGGGAAAGCGAACTGTGTGTATTCCAGATCCCACAGAAAGGATAGGTGCTGAGAACCGTGATGTGAAGGAGACCGAGAAGAAGGTGAAAGAAGGCAAACCGATAATTGAGGGACTGGGGCCGGAGGAATGGACTGTCTTGGTATACCCGCGAGGACGAGGTCCCTGGAAGAGCGTGATTCGTCCGGCGTCAGTCCAGCCTCACGAGAAATCCCCCAAGGGGGAGTTGGTCACATCATCCTTGCTGCAGGACAATCTGTGCAGTAAGGAGTGGATGTCTGAGAAGACTGATGGATCAGGAGTGTTTCGGTCAGTCATTCTATTAAAGAGAAGCACTTATGAAAACACATTACCTTTATTGTGGGTGGACTTGCCAACTAATAATGAATCTACAGATCCTGTAGAAGTTGTGATCGAAAACCCTGTTGACTTTGTTAATAAACGTTTATTCAAAAAATCTCCTCTTGTCGTTTCCCGCCAAAAACAAAGAACTGTCAGACCTTGAGAAACAACCCAATCACAGTCTCATATATGGAGGAAATCCATCCTTTTCTCATCAGTATAAATCCTATGATATATTTGGCAATTGAACTAAGTTCTTTCTTAGAACACTAGGTTAACTAAAGTCATGACTTTTCTTCTCTTGTAATACAGCCTGTCCCTTCTGCCTTCTGGAAGGATTAAATGAATTGGATTTTGCATGCTAGATTTACAAGGCTGTCTGACTTTAGTCAGTTTTTAATGTTGGCAGAATGTCTCCAAATTTGGAACTCTTGCTGTTCTGGTTTGCTTGAATCAGACTTGAGTACAGCTAAACTTTAATAATACTTTAAGCAATTATTTAGTTTGATTCACATGATTCAATAACAATATAATGTAAGAGGAGTTCATTTTTGAGAGTTCTGTTTCTACATCAACAATCTCTGCATGTTTTTAAATGTTGTTTAAAACCCAGTTTTCCATGTGTATATGCGAAATAGGCTAAAATTCCATTGCATGGTGTAGTACATTGTGTTAGAGTAAGCCCAAGTACTCTACAGTTTAAATTTGGTGAGTCAATTCCTTTAAAAGTATCATTTGTTCAAATGCCCCTACTCCAGTTGTGATTTAGTATGCTGAGCAACAAGATTTCAGCCAGAGAGAAAGGGAGAGAGATGAGAAATATTTGTTCTTTCCTGGAAGAGAAGTATTGCTTTCCAGAGGTGCTCCATGAGCTTGTGGACAGGCTTGCTCTAACTGCATATTGTCTCCAAGTACCCTACTCTCCAGCCATTCATAAGACCAAGTTAAATGGTTGAATCGGGCACATGTTTTAAACAGTGATAAGCCTACTTCCTCCTTCAATAAATCCCACTGCCTATCCCAGTTTTATGCTGTCCTGTAAACTGGAATAGCAACCAAGATAGCCATACCAGCCCAGTTCTGCATGACACCATCCTAGGTTTTGTTTTCTTAGAATGCAGAGAAGAGATGTTAAGGTGCATTTAGGTAAAAGGAGAACTTGAACATTGCAGTGAGTTGTGATGATGTGAATGGTCCCTACTGTCTTGGGTATTGGGCTGGACTTTCCTGGGTTAGTAGTGGGGAACTACCATTTACTTAAAACAGCAACTATTCCCTTAAATGGGAGAAATGAAAGTGGTGCAAATAGCCACACAGTTTTGGGATGTGAGTCTAAACGTCCTCTCAAACTCAGGTTATTTTCAGTAACACTTTTGACAATCAGTGTTACTGCTTTCAGTATAAACATACATGAGTGTCTTCCCTATGTATCACTAGAGGTATTTATTATTCGATTTCTACCCCGCCCCTCTAGACAAAGTCTACTCAGGGTGGCTTGCAAGCAGTTATAAAATATCATTAAAAATCATCAAAGCAATCACATAATTAAATCAACACATTTAAAAGTTCATGATGGGGAAAGGAAAGCTAAAGAGAAAAAAAAATCAAATGTTGGCTCGAGGGAAGGCCTGCCTAAAGAGCCAAGTCTTTAACTGACTCTTAAAAAGTTTCATGCCTAAAAAGCCAATTCAAATTTTTAATTAATTTCTTCTAGAGGACTTTTCATCACTCCCCATGACCGAGGACACATTGCAACGTTGCTTAAATCATGGCCTGAAACTGTTATCAAGGTAGGTAACTCGTTAGGGGCATAGCACTACAGACTTATTGTCATCTCTGTGTGTGATTAAAATGAGGATATCAAGCATACAATCTGAGCATTTTGAATGATGAGCAGGATGATCAGATTTCGACTAAGATGTGGATTGGCTGTTTGTTTAGTTAAATGCTCCTCTGTCCTGTGTGGAAAAAAATATTCCTTAAACATAGAAAACTAATGTGCTTGATAGAAGTATACGCTGGAACTCCTGTCTCAAGCATAATACTTTCTTTTATGTAGAAGGTTTGCTTTCATAAGAACAGATATGTGGTCCTCCACCTATATTCTCAAAAAAATATAACTCAGCAAGAGCTCCACCATGTGATTCTGTTGTGGTGTAGCAAAGCATGGCATAGGAGTGGAGGAGGAGTCAGAGTGCAGTAGGCCTATAGAAAATCTGTCTCTTTAGGATCCTAAAAGGAATTTGGCTAGCCAAAGGAGTTGCATTATTTCCTGGACTGGGACAGACTCACCCCAGAATTTCAGAAGGAAGACTCCCTGCTAAGTCAGAAGTGCCTATGAGTGAAGAAAAACAAGATTCATAATATAATTGTACCGTATTTACAGGAGAAGTGAGAGAATGGTCTGCCATTCACTAGACTTTAAGATTGAGAAGTTCCTTACTATTCTACCCAAACAGTTTATCAGAACAGTGGTCACTTCAGTTACTGATTTGTTCATGCTGTTCATTATCACATTAATGGCAATGAACTATGTTTCATATAGAGTCCATTTTAATTACAGATTTGTGAATGCTATTTGTTACCACAATAATCATTGTGATTAGATTTTTTTTAATGATTTAAATCTTTAATTTTCTGATTCTGCATCTTAATTTACTGGTTCTATATCTTCTGCTTGGGTATTGAAAATGATACTTGTACATTTTTGCTTACATTTATGTTTTTATAGTGCACTTTTATAACAACATTAAAATCTTTTTCTTCAAAAGTAAATACAGAAAGAGCTTCAAAGAAGTATAGTATTTGTTTATCTGTTATGTTTCTCATCAGTATCCTTCTAAATAGTAGCTGAAATTCTGTTGTGTTGTTATGCATGGAAAAGGCAGAAGACACAGCATTAAAGCATTCCTAACAAGCAAGTGTTCCTTCCCATAGAATTAACAGAGAAAAAGTCAGTTAAAAGAAATGGAAACTGTAATATATAAAAGCATAAAACTGTAAGGAAAACTAACTGAGGCAGGAGCTTGAGCTTTCTGAGCCTTGCTCCGTATGCATTATTTCTGTTATGCCAGTAGCAACTTCTGATGTGCTGAATATTTGTTAAGAAATTGTCTGCCAGGTAGTAGCAGAATTGTAAGTTACGTTGATGCAAAGGTCAGGTTTCCCGACTTTCATTCTTTAAGTCATGGAAACAATTCTAGTAAAATTACTCGTGTTTATACCTGCCATTTTTATACAGTGAGTTCAGTTGTGTGATTCTAAAAAACATTTTCCCAGAAGTAATGCTCTAGGTAACTGGGCAGCTGATTAAAAATAATATTTTATATAGAAATACTTATGAAAGCTGCAGATGAGAAATGCCATTAAAAAATACCGTCCCGTGTGAAAGAATTCAGAGCATGCCACTTCTAATATGATATCTGCTGCTATATGAAGTTGCATCACTTAATATCAAAGAAAGAGATTGTATCCAGACATGTTCTCCCTTTCAACAAAGAGCCTTTGATAAATGCTTTCATAAATGGAAGGGGGAGGCAAGATTCACCAGCTGCCCTGATGCCTCTTCTGTCTCCCAGCATCTCATGTTGAGAAGGAGGGAAGTTTCTGAGGCAAAATGAGAAGTGGCTGAAGTAAGATCTGCAAGGACGAGGAAAACTGATAACTGGTCCTATTAGTGAAAACCTCCACTAATTTTCTTATAATAAAAATAGAAGGGAGTCATCAGATACAGGTTTTTTTTCTTCAGGCTGTTTATTTGTAATATACAAACATGGTCCTTTAGTCAACTATAGCTTTTATGTTAATCAAATAAACCTATATATATTTAGGCATAGCTCTGGTGACTAAACCCATAGTGGAATGTTTTGCCACAAAATAATTTACATCAACTTGTTATAGAATGATTGCAGAAGGATTTAGCAATTGTATACAGTTTTACAGTATTGGCAATACTTTCTTGCTAGGCTATTGTGGTGACTGATGGAGAACGTATTCTTGGCCTTGGAGACCTTGGTTGCTATGGAATGGGCATCCCAGTGGGTAAACTAGCACTGTACACCGCATGTGGAGGAGTGAAGCCCCAGGAATGTCTGCCTGTTATGCTTGATGTGGGAACTGACAATGAGGTAAATGTTTTTTTTCCATGCTGTCATGAACATTTTACATTTTTCAACAGTCAAGTCAACAGAACTGTGTAGTGCAATTTGCTTGTTAAACTAAAAGGTGCGCTCACCACTCTTCCAGGAATAAATCACTTCATGATTACATCTCAGATGTGTATTTCTAAAGTAACAAATTGTGTTTTGCCACTAAATAATTCGCATCAATCTTTCCGTACAGAAGCTAATGTTAATGCAACCTCAAAGGGTTGTGCTGCAAAAATTTCTGAGACACAAAGCAGGATGCAAGTGAAGATTCATGGGTGCAACCTTTTGCTATGGTTAAGTTGCCTCTGGCATGACGTACTGTAGCTGGTGGTGGCCTGCTTGTACAACATTCTTTGCACAGTGCTGTTCTTGCTAGTGTTTTTTTTCTACTTCTTTGCATTCGTCTATGGAGTATACTGGGCTTCTAGCATTGGAACAAGGGTTCAAGCAGTATTTCCTTCAAGTTCTAGAACAGCTGTGGGTCTGATGGCAATTTTTAGAATATATATTTTAATTGCATTTTAATTATTTTGCCCTTTTATTTTGCCTTTTTTTGTATTTTAAATGCTGTAAGCCGCCCAGAGACCTTTGGGTAGTGTGGGTGGCATATAAGTTAAATAAATAAATAAATAAAAAATAAATAAATAAACAGCAGTGCCATAGTCTAACCCCTTATTCTGACATTATAGAATTGGGTTCCTACACTGAAAATAAGATTTGCCATTGTTGAAATTATTGTTGAAAACATAACTTCATGAGTACCCCATTAGGAAATGTTGGCTTACATCTTAAGAAACTGCAAATGGAATTCTTTTGTGCACTCTAAAAGCTCTACCTGAAGGCTAGAAGACTCTCCATAATGCCATTCAGTGTCACTAGAAGTTGTGTACAGTTGTTGTAGCCTGAAGATATTGGTAGAAACCAGTGATCCTCTTTCAAGCAGAACAACAATTCACAATTAGATTCGACTGGTGCCTCGCAAGACGAACGCCTTCTGGGATGAAAAACCCACAAGACGAATGTTTTTTGCGATCGCTGTGGTGCCTCGCAAGACGGCTTCTTCTATGGCCGTGCTTCGCAAGATGACTTTTCTTCGTAAGACCAATGCCTTGCAAGATGAAAATAATTCATTCGTCTTGCGATGCATTCCTATGGGAAACTGCTTTTCACAAGATGAAAATTTCGCAAGACAGCACTACATGCGGAAAGAATTACTTTTGTTTTGCGAGGCACCGCTGTATATAGATATGTAACAATAGATCTATAGATAGCTATAGATGTAGATTTTGTCCTGTTCAAAGATTACAAATCTTAAATAGACTCCAACATTAACATTTGCACATAGTAGAAATGCAGGAGTAGGAGATACCTTTATAGACCACTAAAAACATAGTCTGCTAGCTTTTCTTGATCATGACCTTTCACTTTGTCAGTATGGTACCAGTGTAAAGAACTTAAAATCCCAAAAATTCATGGCAAGGTGGATTTTGCCAGCCATTTTTCTTAGATGTAAGTAAGGAAAGTTGCAGGCTGCATTGAAGTTGTGGTTTTAAAGTTACAGCTAAGGAAGCACTGGTTTGGATATCACACATTAGTTCTTAAAACAAAGATGTGCATGCCTGTGCAAACACCTTCCTATCTGGCCTTTCTCTGAAACTACGTGTTTCTGTTTGGCTAGAGGGAATAGGGTGTGCATATGTGCATATACAGTACATGCTTCTATGTCTCTGTGAAATCAAGTGAATGTGAAACATCTTTGTGTGCCATGATTAGGAATGCATGAGCACATGGGAGGTCCTCTGAAATATAGGTGATGAGGGGGATAGAGAATGTATTTTATTAGAAATAATAAGTTGTGTAAATGATTTACATAAGGTTGTTTGAATACACTTAGCTGCATAGGAAAAATTTAATGAAAAGGGGATATGATGAAAATATTTTGGATGGTTTAAAACTATGTTGTAATGAAAAGAATGTTGTAATGAAAAGTATATAACATGCCTTGGTAAATGCCTCTGACTGTTTATTGTCCTTGTTCCAGAAATTCAGAAACAGGATAAAATTACAGAGTGGATTTATCATCCCTGAGGATGGAGGGAATCTTGATATCCAAATTTTAAAAAAAGAACAGATCAATACAGTATGTTGGCATGCTGTAAGCTGAAGCAGATAGTCTTGGTAGAAAGTAAACTTATTAAGGCTAGTTGGGAATTTCCTGATGGAAACTATTTTGATTTTTAAAAATACCGCTTTTCATTGAAACTGGAACGCTGTGATCGTTCCAACTGCCAGATGGGATTTTTGGAGCCAGATGGAGCTGTTTCAGTTTCTAGGCAAGGGATAGCAATCTCTAAGGCTGTGACTTCACAGTCCCTTTACACAGTTCAGGTTGCTTTTTATTTGATCTTCCCAGGCATGGACAAGTCTGCATTATTCCCTTGGCTTTATTCAGTTAGAAGAGACAGAACAGCTTCTGCGCAGGTTTGGACATACCATTAAGTGTTTCAGATGGTAAATTATACATGGGGCATCATTTATCTGCCTTAATTCTCAGCTTCTATGTGGTTGCGAGTTATGGGACAGTGAAAGCCAAGCCAGCCCTTCTTTCTGAACATTTGAGTTTGGATTTCAAACACCCAATCAGGAGTATTTTGGTAGAGAAGCAGCTTAAGATTTGTGATCAGAAATACTTGTGCATAAACGGGCTTTGCTTTGCCTTCAAGAATTACATTGTAAGGGGAAGAAATAAGCTGGTGCTTTAAAATGTGATCTGATCCTCCTTCTCAGTAATTTTAATACAGCTGAACACAGCTATGATATAGAACAGGGCAAGAGCAGACAGGAGAAAGTGCCTAGCCCTATTCTTTTCCTCTAGAGGAATCTGTGGGGCATAGAAAGACAAGGGGGTGTATGGTATTAGCTTTGCGGTTAGAAATACTTTGCTGAGATCCATTGTTCCACCTTCTGTGGGGAGTCAAAGAATCCTGTCTCTGCAGCTCCACTCATCAGCAGAACCGGTCACCCTCATTAGTGCATATGCACCAACACTGTTGTTGTCTACAACAAAAGTGAAAGACAAATTCCATGATGATCTGGCAGCTACTATCAGAAAAATCCCGGAGAGAGAGCCACTGTTCATTCTCGGAGACTTTAACGCTAGAGTTGGTGCTGATCACAATTCTTGGCCACTTGTCTAGGCTGTTTTGGCATTGGGAGGATGAACGAAAATGGCCAACGCTTGCTGGGGTTTTGCTGTTATTATGGTCTTTGTGTCAGCAACATGTTCTTTAATACGAAGCTTCAACTTAGAGTCTCTTGGAGACATCCAAGATCGAAGCATTGGTATCAGCTGGATTTGATCCTCACTAGACGCTCTAGCCTTCCTAGTATTATGATCACACACAGTTATCAGGGTGCTGATTGCGGTACCGATCACTCCCTGGTGTGTAGCAGAGTAAAACCGCAAATAAAGAGATTGTATTGCATGAAAAAGGAAGGAAGACCACATGTTGACATCAGCAAGACTCGCGATCAGAGAAAAGTGGAGGAATTTGCTCAAGTGCTTGAGGAAACTCTTCCAGGCCCAGCTGTTGCAAATGCACCTGAAGAATGGGAACATTTCAAGAATGCTGTTTATAACACCGCCTTGTCCATATTTGGCAAGAAGACCAAAAAGACGGCAGACTGGTTTGAAGCCCATTTGGAGGAGTTGATGCCAGCCATCGAGGAAAAAACGAGAGCTCTAGCAGCATACAAAGCCTGACCTAATGAGTACAACTTGCAGGTTCTCGTAGCAAAGTCCAACAGACTGCCAGGAGATGTTCTAACGATTATTGGCTTCAGCTCTGCTTTCAGATACAGATAGCAGCAGGCACACATAACATCAAGGGCATGTATGACGGTATCAAGCAGGCTTTAGGTCCAATACAGAAGTCTGCTACAGGCGTGATCATCCAGGACCGAGCACAGCAGATGGAACACAGGGTGCAGCACTACTCTGAGCTATATTCTAGAGAGAATGTAGTAACCGAAGAGGCATTAAATAACATTGAGTGCCTCCCTATCTTGGAAGAATTGGACAGCAAACCAACTTTAGCGGAAATAAAAGTGGCCGTGGATTCCCTCAAGGGATGTGGTGGCGCTGTGGGCTAAACCGCAGAAGCCTGTGCTGCAGGGTCAGAAGACCAAGCCGTCGTAAGATTAAATCCATGTGACGGAGTGAGCGCCCGTCACTTGTCCCAGCTCCCGCCAACCTAGTGGTTCGAAAGCATGCAAATGCGAGTAGATTAATAGGGACCACCTCAGTGGGAAGGTAACAGTGTTCTGTGTCTAAGTCGCACTGGCCATGTGACCACGGAAGATTGTCTACGGACAAAAACGCTGGCTCTATGGCTTGGAAACGGGGATGAGCACCGCCCCCTAGAGTCGAACACGACTGGACAAAAATTGTCAAGGGGAACCTTTACCTTTACTTTTACCTTGGATTCCCTCGCCTCCAGCAAGGCACCTGAGAAAGAAAACATCCCTGTTGAAGTGCTGAAAGTGCTATAAAGAGATCACCACCACTGAGCTGTATGAAATCTTTCATCTTTGTTGGAAGGACATGAAGGATGCAAACATTCTCACACTGTATAAGAACAAAGGCAACGGGGTGACTGAAATAACTACCATGGCATCTCTCTTCTCAGCATTGTAGGGAAGCTGCTTGCCCATGTTGTGCTGAAGAGGCTCCAGGTGCTTGCAGACAGAGTCTATCCAGAATCACAGTGTGGATTTCGAGCTAATAGATCCACCATTGACATGGTATTTTCCCTCAGACAGTTGCAGGAGAAATGTAGGGAACAACGACAGCCACTCTTTGTGGCCTTCATAGATCTACAAAGGCCTTTAATTTGGTTAGCAGGGATGGTCTTTTAAAACCTACGTTCCCAACCTTTGTTACTCAGATGTTTTTGAACTGCAACTCCCAGAAACCCCAG